GTATGTCCTGGTCACATGTGATATAGACGTCGTTTGACAAACAAACCGCGTGGGAAATCGGAAATCTTTAGGAATCCAGCCAGATAGAAACAAAGTGAATCACAACGACTAATAGGCTTGTGCCTCATTTACTCATTTACCCGAAAACACGTGATGTCAACCGATTGATTGTACACTCTCTATCGACTGCTCACGTGGAATATCATTTGGATTCTGAAAGGTAAACTAATATGATTATTATGAATACAGTTATCATTAGAACTCCACGTGCGTCAAACACAGGGAGGGGGGAAATTTTTCGATAATTTTTACGTTACATCACCACCTTTTACCTCGCGTTCTCACTGGAAGCGGTGTCTGTCTCATAGATGAGTATGACTACAACTTGCATCTACTAAGCACCATTTTTTTATTCTGGCACGACACATTTGAGGAATAAATTTTCGATCAGAGAAGTGTGAACCCCGGTTGTTCTTCACCACTCACTAACAATCAGGTGACCGATTGACTCCATTGACCCATATCCAAAAACATATGAACTGAACAGTGATACAGATGCAATGAAGATTTATCCACCCACAACCCATGGAGACCTTAACTTTGGAAACAATGTGAGGATGTTGGTGCTGGTGTGTTCTTCGAGCTAAAAGTGTATTGATGATGCTGCCTTGATGGGCTACAAAACGTCTATGAACAACACTTCCAGCTCGGGGAACACATCAACAGGAACACTAACAGAACTTTACTCTGTATCAATTTGTATTCGTATTCACTGTAATTTATAATGATATATGTTAGTAATATACCCCATTCCGAATTGTGCGGGTTCTATTTAGACCGGATAAGCGCGGTGCTGTTTAGAAGATTGAGGTCACTTGAATATCACCACACGGGACCCTTGTTCGAATCCCTGCGCCACCGTCCAATGACTTGCATTATGCAAACCTTAATTACATGAAGAAAACAAAACAGTTACACAGAGATGAACAATTATTAAACAAACAAACATTCGTATGCGATGGAGATGTTTGTGATAACCGACAGAGACGAGTTCCAAACAGGACAAAACAGTTGTCCAGCGCCTTTTGTCGATTATCACAAACATTTTCATCGTATTTGAATGCATTACCTCGTGGGGAATTAACGATCTCTCACGGAGTAAGACCCACACCCAAGACCATCAAGAGTACCTGGTGCCTCTGAACAATCGAGCGGGCTAATCTAAACTAAATACCCTAAGCAAAAAGACAGTTTTTTACAACGCAAGACTAAGGTTTTTACGAGCTTCCACGATGCTCCAAGCTTGATACACTAAGCAGACAAACACCCCCAAATTTATTGGTTTGATCGTTTTACAATGGGATTGTATGATGCGATTGGAACAGCCTAAGAAACTGTACACCGCATTATTGCATCCCTAGTCTTACCCGCATAGTTATTGTAACTCTGTACATAGCACAAGTGCTCCCTGATCAGTCCAGATTATCTGAATTGTAAAAAGTGCAAGTGGGAAGGATTACCGAATATGCACACCTGACGACCGTCAAGGACCGCGAAATCGGTTTGTACGTCTGAGAAGTTGTGTCCATTCATTCATTCAAACAACACTCATTTTAAAGACAGTGAAAATCGTCCATGACGTCTAATTGGTTTGGGTTGCATGTATCTAACACAGAACCATCCCAGTGAATCTTCGAGATGTTTTTGTCTGAAAAGTAACTTCCTGAGCTTCCATGACTATTCGCATTGCCGAAAGATCATACATATTGATGGAATTTGATTCTATGGCCACGTCTTTGGCTAACGTAATTTCTACCAGGTTATCTTCGAGACCACAATGATAACTCAAATGAATCTCTTCATACTTGATTATCCATCGACCCCGTTTGATTGGATTATTTTGCAAAATAGAACAATTACTCATCCAGTACGGCGACTTTTCATCCATTCATTAACACTGTGGCAACCTGCTTGTAGCAACATCGACTCCATCATATTTTGCGGGGAAAAAACACAGATTCCAGCGTTCAGCTGGTCAATTATTCCGTTGGCTCTGACAAACCCACACGTGTGGGTGTGTGTGTGAGTGGGTGGGGATCATCTCTGTCCGCAAACTAGATTAATTATTCATGAGAACCGTTCAACTAGATTTATTACCATATTTCTTATTATTATTATTATTCGTATTCTTGTGCTTATCACTATTAGTATTATAAATTTTCCCCTAGTCCCATACATTTGCATTTTATTTTGTTTTTACATTTGCGTGCACAGGGTTCTTTTACTGCCTCTTTCTCTCGTCTTCCCACTGCAAAAACATCCCATATTGTCTAAATTACGCTTTCTTTCGGTCATTTCGACCTCTCAGTTGATTAGAAATAAACACCTCCATCATTAGCCATTTTGTTTTACTTTGTATATACCGTGTACGACCAGAAGATTTGATTGAAATTTGGCTTCAATAATTCCTGGTTAGTTAAATTAAACATTCGTAATGTTGAAACTGATCTGATCTGAAATGAAATTGATAGATATGAACTATCCAATTGAGCAAAAAATGACACCCAAACAAAACACTTAAAGATGCGAAATAATCTGACAGCTGAGACTTCCCGTTTTCATATATAGCATCAACATGAAACTCTACCTGATCCACTTCCATCCTTCGCCGAGTCAACAGCTAAGCGTTGCATGAAATAAAATATCCAAAGGCGAATAAAATCCGTTTTTTCATAATAATTTACTTCTCCAATTTACCAGTTAGAAAAGAGATCAACGAAATCAACACGGCGTAAAAACCGAACTAATCAGATCAATACTAATCGATAATTTCATGACTGTACACGAATCATACAAGCGTAAAAGAATAAATTAAAGATTAATACAAACTATGCGTTAGCCATTTTCTATAGTAGCCTATATTCATCATCAACGCCTCAAGGAAATTAGCTAATCGTTTGAGTAATTTGCTTCTTCTGATCTACGGTAAATCCAATCAAATTAGTTGCTACTGTCCAAAAGGAAATAGTCAAAATCTCTCCGAAATGGCAAACATATTGGTTGATTAAGTGGCATCACTTATTTCGGGAATTAAAGCAATAAATTGATATAAAAGGTATACATTGAATGAATTTCGCTGGCTTTGAAACGGTTATGCGCGACAAAATATTACATATAGGGATAAATGCTACTGCTATCGATTATGACTCCGGGGGATCGTTTCGGATTTATCCAATAATTGGGACAGTTTCATTCGACAAAGGATNACCAAATGAAACCGAGTATCTGAATTTAGTATAGATTTGAGGATAGTTCAATCACTGCCCCTCCCCCCAGATATCACAGCCAAAAATGGAATGCTTCGACCGTTAAAATCTGGATTACATTTATCTACTACATATAATTAGGTGTGTGGTTATATAAGAAAGCATCAAACGTTATGCACTGTATTATATATTTGACTAACATTTAGCAATCCCTGAGCGATGTTGGCGGATCTCACTAGAAATTGTGGGCGCGGAACTCATGAACACCCTCATGAACCCTATACTGAATAGAAAAAGTTAATTATACTATAATATATCTCCAAAAATCGCATACACAAATGACATAACCATGCAAAAGCAGGTTTATCTGAAACACACAGATTCCAAATACAAATGTCATTATGATTATTATAGTATCATACCATC